TTTTGTCTCTAACTTACTATTATTTGTCTATTTGTTTTCCTGAGAAACTATTTTATAGATAATAATACGTAAAACGATAACCATTGATAATTTCCTACCATTTTGTCTGTAATTTGCTAAGTCCCCCCTATTATTATGTTATCCTTCTTTTATTCTTTAAAATAAAAAATTTTTTTAAAAATAAACATAAAAAAAAAAGACAAGGTTGTCCACTGTCACTACTTCTATTCAATATAGTTCTGCAAATATTAGCCAGAGCAATTAGGCGAGAGAGAAATAAAAGGAATAAAGATAGGAAAGGAAGAAGTGAAATTATTATTCACAGATGACATAATACTCTACATAGAAGACCCCAAAAACTACACCAAAAGGCTTATAGATTTAATAACCAAATTCAATAGTATAGCTGGACACAAAGTCAACACTCAAAAATCAATCACATTCCTGTATGCAAACAACAAATACAATGAGAGAGAAATTAGGGAAATCACACCTTTCATAACAGCATGTAAAAAATGAAATACATAGGAATCAATCTAACAATGGAAGTAAAAGATCTACACATTGAAAATTATAGTACTCTGAAAAAGATATTGAAGAGGATTTCAGAAAAAGGAAAGATATTCCTTGCTCATGGATAGGAAGAATCAATATTGTGTAAATGATCATACTCCCAAAATTGTTGTATACATTCAACGCAATCTCAATTAAAATACCATTAATGTACCTCACATATCTAAAGAAAACATTCATAAAATTCATCTGGAACCAGAAGAGGCCTAGAATACCAAAAGCAATCTTGGGGAACAAAGGCAAGGCAAGAGGCATCACAATCCCTGACTTGAAAGTATACTACAAAACTACTGTGATAAAATCAGCATGGTACTGGAAGAAAAATGAGCATCACTGGAGCAGATTAGAAGATGCAGCCACAACTACAAACACCCTCAACCACCTTATCTTTGACAAAGGGGCCAAACATGTTCACTGGAAGAAAAATAGTCTCTTTAATAAATGTCCTGGAAAAAATGACTTTCCACATGCTGAAGACTAAAACTAGACCCATGCCTATCACCATGCACTAAACTAAAGTCAAAATGGATCAAAGATCTAAATATTAAAAAGAAACACTAAATTTATTGGAAGATAAAGTGGGTAAAAATCTTGAAGACATAGGGGTAGGCAGAAACTTCATGAACAAAAACCAAACTGCCCGGGAAATACTTCAAAGAATCAACAACTGGGGTCTCATCTTATTGCAAAGTTTTTGCACATCTAAAGAAATCATCAACATGCATATGCAGGATAGTTAACATGGCTGTTCTACTGTCTTGTATTTCCTTGCTGAAAGAAACTGTCAATGAGGCCTTGGTTGATCAGCTTTGTATGTCTATATCTGTTTTCATGAGAAACCACTTTGAAGATATCAATATGTAATATAACAAGCATTGTTAATTCCCTACCACTCTGTTTGTAACTCT